GTCGATTATGACTAGACACAGGATCGTGATAAAAGGTGTAAAGCATAGTCACACAATTGACAGAGACAGAATGATCCAGTGATCAACTGCTCCATGTTTAACCACTATCCACTGGAAAGCAAATAAATATCATAATTCAACTCATGCTCACTGCACATGCAAATGATGTATAACAGTAACTAAAGGGTGTCAACAGTAAGCATATATCATAATTATTGAGGTAAAACGATAAATACAAACAGTACTATACCTGCAATATTACCACAAGCAGCTCGAGAAAGAAGACGCTGCATGCAATTAACATAGGAATGAACATTCCACTACATGCTGCAATTGTAGCAAGTGCTCCTCCAAGTGCAAAAGAGCCAACTCGACCCATAACTATTGAGGCCCTATATCTGTTATGTAAAAGAAAGCCGGTGCAAGCACCTGACATAGATGCTCCAAAAACACTCAGCTCTGCAACAATTGTGAATAATTGATTCACACAAGACCTCATTAGATTTAACAAAAGGTAGAAGATCATGAAGATGAATTCGAAGAAGTCAACAGGGAGGTATCCATTTAGGTGACCCCTTTGCATCATACTATGGAATTCAGTTCCGATACACCATCTACCCTGACTAATGACTACACATAACATTTTTTTCCAAACTTAAAAACACTGCGTTGAACCCTTTTCAGCAAGTGGAGCATAGATGCATGAAAAGCTCCAGAACAAATTAAATGGGTACAATAGACCATTACGTGATGTCATGTATAAAATAGGTTTGTCACCCTTTATCGAAAAAATGATGACAGGAGCAAAAACTAGTATGCTATAAGGAATTAATTACGATGCGGGATTACAACTTTGAGAAAACATGTTAATAGGCAGAAATAACAAAGTACCCGAGCAAATTGGAAGAGCGGCAACAGACAATCCAACGAGTGCCAAAGCAGCAACACCACCAGCCAAACCATCAAGACCATCAACCAATGTTACTCCAGTACCCATGGAAAGAGAACATACTGTAGCCAGAACCAGATAAACTTTCCCCATGAATGCAAGACCAAATGACGGAGGCAGAGGAACAATGAATTTCCTTCATGAACAAAGTAGAATAAGTAAAGTTGAGACAGTCAACCTAAATATTAAACTGTGATATTTTTTATATCTTTTCCTGTAACGCGTGATCAGAGAATTAAGGGTCATATAATGTGCCCAGTATACCAAGATATGATGTAGGAATTTAGACATCTTCAAAGTATAATCAGGAAAGCACCATCCACTCTAAAATTAACAGGTAAACATTGGTACTAGTTACCAACGTGAGTTCAAAACCAACATTAGTTGTGTAAGTACGCACTAAGATAAAGTGACACCATTGGAGGCCGCAGCCCACAGATAAAATGATGTATGATCCTTGGGCTGTACTCTGTGACAATCCTTTAGGCAATTAAGAAAGATTTTGCTTTTCATGTTAAGAACACCAACTCAAAAACCAACCACAATCACAAGATAGCATAACTGATCAAGCACTAAATCAAACTGACCCAGCTTCAAGGCACACATCAGTTGCAATAATGCTTACATGTTGTATGGTGTTGAAATATTTGCAGAACCCAGCCAGATAAAGAAGTAGATACCAGCAGCAGTCTGCAAGGAATACGAGATTACTTCTAAGTTGCATTTACTGTAACATGTAAAGGGCACCCTATCATAATTTGACAAAAGCATCACTTACCTGAACCAAAAATCTTATCCACTGAGGTATTTTATGATTGCGATCCATGACAAGGTTTGAAATATCGTCAAGTAACCCAACTACTGCAAATATGATGGTTATTATAGCTGCTCCATTTACTCCACTTGAGTTTGAACCAACATTTCTTCTTGCAACCAAAATACCAATCGGAACGAAGAACAGTCCTCCCATTGCTGGGGTTGGTTTTCCGTTGGATGGAGATATAGGCTTCCCTCTCCTCCGGAAATGATGAATCTTCATTCTATCAGCAATGGGTGCAAAAATAAATCCAGCTAATGTGGATAGAACTGCTGATATTAAAAAAGGGCGTGTCAAATAAAATGAGTCCAGAGGTAGCCTAACAATCCACCACGAACACCAGTCGACAAACAAAAGTTGCACTGCTAGGAAAGCAATCAGCCCAACATTATTCATCAGCCCTTGTCGAGTTCTGGGAATTGATGTAAGAAACTTTAGTCAGAACTCAGAAACTAGCAAACACATTTCTAAGAGCCTATCTGTTCTTATTGGTTCGGCAGTCTTTGTGTTCAGTTGACCGTGAAGAATAAGAATTACATAACCTTTCTAGCACAATATTAATCTGGAAGGTCATCACATATGATCTTAATATATTACCATTATTACTCCACAGCTAAGTGTGTATTATTCCTGGAAAATTACACACTATACTATACAACAGCATATTCGTTAAGTGTGTGATGTTCGCTGGAAAATTACACAATATACAATACAACTCGTTGTAATACAATGCCGACACCTAGCCATATTATCATGATGGTATATGACTTATCGCTGTAGAGCTACTTGAATGAGCTACAGTTGTTTGTATTCCGCTTGTGATCTGAAAAGCTAGATAATTTACCTGCTCTTCCTTTGCCCTTTCCCAATGGTGGCGAGCCTATGGGCAGCAATGGTTATCGCACCCTCTGCCGCCTTGAAGCGCCTCTCGGTCATCATCGTTGGCAACTCAACATCCCCAATTTGAGTTAACACAACCTCATCGTCGCTCCAATCACTCTCACTTGAATACAGAACAACACCAAATGCATCATCCTCGTCGTCATGATGCACCAGCGAGAAATCCCCCAGATCCTACACCAAGTCACTGCAACTGGTAAAACAATCCAATTCGTGGTGCAGCACTGCTACCTGAATTTGAAGAAGAGAAACAGCACAGTACATCATCAAATGATGTGGGGATTTGAATGGAACCACGCCTGCGTGTGGGTCTGGATGGGATGCTTCCGAACTGGGACTCCTGAAGAAGGGTAATAGCAGCGAGATCAATTCCACCGCACGTCCATCTTGTGAATCATTTGGTGGCGTATGTTAGTTTGAACTGAAACGCGCAGCAGTATCAGCATGCGACTACCGGCTACTGCAACAACCAACGGCCTGACCATTTGGAACTAAAAATCTGAAAAATGGCAGCTGGTGGAGATCACCTGTCGCCTACGCTTCGATGAATACGGCGGCAATAACGAGGCGAAAAACAAACTCTACGAGGAATTGGGGCGGATCGAGAGATCTAGGAGCTCACCTGCACGGCGGAGGGTCGGCGGGAGGACGGCGTCGAGGAGGGGCGCACCCGCGGGAGAGGCGGCCGCCGGAGGGATCGCCGGAAGCGCGGGTGGTGGGGCGCGGGGCACGAGTAGTAGGAGCAGGAGGCGGAGGAGGAGGAAGGAGATGCCATGGCTGGTACTTCGTCGGCGGGGACGACGGGGGAAGAAGATGGCCGGAGATCGAGGGGTATTTTCTGACGGCGACCGGAGGACAGCGGCTACTGTTTTTCTTGGAATGCTTCGCTGCGAGGTGGGTGTTTGCTGGATACTTCTTTCTTGTTTTGGAGGCCTCGGCCAACCTGGGAGCAATTTTTCTCCCTTGGGGAAAGTGGTCGTCGCTTCGCACATTGACATTTGCTATGCGGTGGATCTGGACATCTGGTGCTTTGTTCAACATTTTGGTAACGTCGAAACACGCTACAAAGCGGATTTTTCTATCTATGATCATATTTTATACTCCCTCCGTAAAACATACTATAAGAGAGTGTTGCTTTTAGTAGTGATCTAAATGCTTTTATATTTCTTTACCGAGGAAGTAATGCACTGGTGATTTAGTGAAAAAAGCAAATCCACAAAGTTCTACATAATTCTAAGGGAGTTTAACTTTTTTCGAAAGGATTATAGATCTATTATTCATCTGAAATGCAGAGCATCTCAAACATAACATAAATCCAGAATCCAGAAATAAGAGACGGATGGATGCACAAGCCTTCTCAGCGATCGCGATTCTGGACCGTTGGATCTGCGCGCTTGATGCGATCCGAACCGTCGGATCGAGCCCTGGAGTGACCTCGTCCGTCGGATAAAAAAAAGTTACTGCTGGAATGAATAGTAATGGCAACAAAATGTAAATATCATGCCCTCACCAGGGCATTTTGGTCATTTCGCGTGGTGGGCGTATAAAAGGGCTGGCTCCCCTGGTGAACCGTAGCCGCCGCCTCCTCGCGCACTCGCGCCCGCGCCCTCACCTCTCTCTCCCCATCCAAACCCTACCTCGCGCCCGCCTCCCTGCCCTGCCGCCGGCGCCGGCGCCGCCGCTCGCCCGGGCACCCATCCCCGGCCTCACGCCGCCCATCTAGAGAGATGGGGGCCGCGCGCGACGAGGCCGGCGTGCCGTCGTCTCGTCTTCTGCCGCGCCCGCCTCCCTGCCTCGCCGCTGGCCGCCGCCGCCACTGCTCGCCCGGGTACCCGGCCGCGGGTGATGTGGCCGACGTGCCGCCGTCCCGTCTTCTGCGAGGTCGAGGAGAGCCAATCCCACCTCGCCGCCATCTCCTTCATCCAGCCGGCTGCCGCCTTGGCCGACTCCTCTTCCCCTCCCGTCCTCCTCCTCTCGCGTCTCCTTCCCATCGTCAGGCCGCATACTGCTCCACCCTTCCTCCTCCCCTCCCATCGCTCCCCTCTAACGCTAGGAGTGGGTGAGGAGGCTGAGCCACTGCCCGCTGCCGGCCCGCAACACCTCCTGTTCGACCATGCCGAGGAAGCACTGGACCTTCATCCTTGCGTCTGTGCAGAGACGACCCGAGGTAAGGCGCCTTCATATTTGTTTGTTTCTTATATTGGAGATGCGGTCAGCTGATTTGGGGGGCCTTGAGGCATTCAAATGGAGCACATGTGTTCACCTTAGGTGACTTATAATCTGTAGCATATGTTGCTGCATTGGGAGATTTGGAGTACGTGCATTGAGGCTTAAATGTGCAAATGCACACTGCTGGAGCGCCCTTCAGCAACGAGGAGGCCCAACGCGACACGGCCGCCGCCTGCGTCGGTTCTCCCCAGCACGACACGGCCGCCGCGGGCATCGGTTCTCCCCAGCACAACCACTCTGAAGACGCCCAGGTGATCCATTCTCTTGCCTAGAGATGTTGTTCTTCTCTTTCAGTTATACTTTTTTTGTTTCCATTGATTTTGTGTGGAATTTATCATTGCAGGTCCACTGTAGCTGTTGTTCTCTTGTCTTCTTGCACATAGTACATCACTTGATAGTTGAGACTATACTGGTATTGGCCAATATTGCGTTAGGATAACTATATTGCATTTTGCGAAATATTAGTATGGCAGCGTCAGCTTCCTCAGTTGTTGCAAATCTTGTATTTGCGCCTTGTACTGTAACTGCAAAACTCTAGGTATCAATATTCAATATATCTTGTAAATTTTAAAGCATTTTGAAACCTTACAAATAACTAATTGAGTTGATAATAAAACAGAAGATGCATTGCCCCAATGGGATTACTACTTCTCTGAAGTGCCTAACCTACCAAATCCGCACCAGATGATAATTTAATATGCCAAAGTACATAAATTTGCCTAATTTATGTTCAGCTCATTTTCCTTGCAGCTGGTTTATGAATAATATATGAAATATGGACTACCAAAACTGTATTTGTCCGGCGTCTCAAAATTGCAACATATTGGAAATAGTCGACCTTCCTGTTATTAACTGTAACATATAACATATTAATACCTCAAACTAGGGATTGCATATGTTTGATTTTTCTTGGGCTAGAAGCCAAGAATATTGAACTTTGTTTTATGGTAGGAAATCGGATACTCTGAAGCAGTAAAACGTTTCGAGTTCGATGGTCAGCTTGGCCCATACAATTTGGATTCTTTTGGAGACTGGAAACAACTTTAAAGCTACTTGTCACAAAGTGTCATTGAACGCCTTGGTAAGTCTGATGCATTTTGATTTTTCTCGTACCCTTAATAGTTACAGAGCAGCCTGTATTTAAGACATTTTTGATAGAACCAACTAATGAGTTGCTGGTTATGTGTGTTTGATTTGTACAGAGCCAATTGGTGGCAATTGCATTGGAGACATCATGGATGGATAGAGCTCCCCAAATGGATATGGGGAGACGATTGATGGAAACACTTAGAGAAGACAAATTTGCCAAGAAAGCGCCTGCACACACTGAGAGGAGAGGATGCTATTACACAACTATCCCGCTTCGGTTAAGCACAGAATTCTGGCAAAGTGTCACTGAATATTTCAGAGTTTATATCTTTTCTATGATGCCCAAAGAAAATGTGTTTCTAAACCCTTTACTGTTTGTGGCAATGCTTCTCATGCTTCCCCAAACAAGCTATTGCTACTTACAATTCCGAGAGTAATAGAACTTGCATGATGTGATCAAAGTTCTTTACTTACTTGCAGTGCTTCCTTTCTTTGCAGCTTTGGAATATACAATAAGGTCAATGGGCAATGGCTAGCAATCAGGATTATTAGCTGTCCAATCACCCAGAAACTTTGAGGTGGGATTTCTCTTAATTTCCTTTCAGAGGTATATATAACTTGGAGCACACATGTATGTATCTCACTGTTTTGTATTATTATTACTTTCATTGCCGATGTAAAGCTGAAAATGGATGGATGGATGCACGGTGTGATAAGATCATGAAGAAAGTGTTTTGAAGAGTATCCCGAGGTTGAGAACATTTATAGTGAATTACAGGAAACAAAACGGTCTTACTCCAGTTCACATCCATGGTAACTATCAATATATAACTCCAGTTCATGTTCTTCTAATTATACATGAGGGTATGAAAAATCCACACTCTTATGTGAAGGACGTGAGGTGTCGCTGATGAGACCTTTGTGTTGGACGGTGATCATGGGCAACGTTATATAGTTAGTTTGATATGTTATATGGTCCAGCTAGGTTCGAAGGAACGGGATCTTTGGATCAGTCCCATATTCATGTTAGTTTTATAACAAATCGGTGAAAATTACTTCTGTGTGTTGTTGCTTCAAGTTGAAGTTTGGTCACTTGTTTTCAGGTCTACCCCGCCGTCATTTCTATAAAAATAAACAAATTCTTTATTTATAGCTGATTGCCATTTTCCTTTTGGGTATGTGTTGGTCGCCCCTCATCCGCGGCTGCTCGCGGGCGCTCCCGCAATGCCGCGGGTAAAACTGGTGGTGGCCATGGCATTGCCGGCGGCTCTGCCTCTTGCGGTGACTTTGTAGAGTACAAGTCAAGTTTAAAGCTTTCGACCGCGACGGCTGAAAAACCAAAGTAAATGCATCATATATATTCTAATAAATGCATGCGAATCATAGAAAATATGGTAAGCACCTATCCTGCAATTTAGGACTGGCGTGATGTTGCTCTTTGTTGATAGAAATCATACTTGCATAGCTGTTTGATTGATTTGATTATAATCAAACTGCATCGTCATAATATTATATCCTTGCCATATTGTAAAGTTTCAGTTGGGTTGGTCACGGCACACTATATGCGATATGGCAATGTTTTGTACCAATCTTTGTGATGTACTCCGGAAGAAAGGTATCTTCAAATGTATAAAGAATTAGCATGTTCTTAGTGGTTAGTAGCGCCTGATTCAAAGTGACTGTGAACGGGTTCGAATCCTAGTCACTGCATTTTTTAAACAATTAATTTCTCCTAGGAGCTGACACGTGGGACCACTGCCATGTAGGTTAGGCTTTTCTTATCTAAACTACTTGATGTGACAAAATATCTTAAACAAGCTCTGTGATTTCTATGCTCTCTTATATTATCAAAGATGATTGCACTTATATGATATGTTTGATAGTTCCTATATACTATGAAAGAAAAAATAGCTGATGTTCCGCTCCCTGCAGGTCTGCACTTGCGTCGCGCCCTTTCCTCTCCCTGCCGCCTTGCCTCTCTCCCTGCCTGCTCGTTGCCCCGGTCGTCTCTGATGGTGCTCCTAGATGTGCTATACATCACCTCCTCACCTCCTTGGCCACTTCGGTGCCCATGGCTTTCGTGCTCGTCGGCAGGATGGTGCAAGGCGCAACTCCGATGTGGTTCCTCACTGGTTGGATGGCGTTCAGGCGTAACCCCGGTGCCCTCTGAGTACTGCCTCGGCTACAACCTCCCTCTGTGAGCTCCATCTTCCCCTGCTCTGCTTCGGCTACTATATGGGACATGGCCAGGGCTATGATGATCAGTTATGGCTGATATAGGCATGCTCTCAAGCAGTCGAGGCACTTGTGGGTATTAATTTGGATCCTCCCTCGTTTCTTTGAGCTGTTTTGAGCACGTTCTTATTTTAGTGGCTTTGTCCTTGGATGGTCATTTCTAATGAGTGATAACCAGGGCAGTTAAACCCTCATAAGAACATATTGATCCGGTGATCCATCCAGAAATCCAGAAATAAGTCCATCCATCCAGAAATAAGAATAGAAACTCCTCAGGCCGCTCCTTAGCGATTTGGGATTCCTGGCCGTCGGATCTGGTTGCTTGATGGATCTTGGGCCGTCGGATCGACCCCTGTAATGACCTTGTCCGTCGGATAAAAAAAATTACTGCTGGAATGAATAGTTACTCCCAAAATGAGATATCTCGTGCCACCGCGTTTGAATCACGTGCCCCATCGGTCGGAAGCCATTCTTGCTAGGGCGATGATGATTAGCCGTGGGTATCAAGTTGGGTCCTCCCTCTTGTCTCTAGAATCCTTTTTGATCCTGTGATACTTATTGTTCTGTCCTTTGGATGGTCATTGATCTGGTGATAAGAGATGATGGGGGTAGATTATATGATCGAGGAAAGGCAAATCTGAGCCCATATGCATTGAACCCTGAACCCTTTTTATTCGCACGTGGCCCACCGGTCGGAAGCCATCCTTGCTAGGGCGATGATGATTCGCTGTGGCTGAAATAAGTGTGCCTTTGAGCAATCAAGGCACCTGCGGGTATCAAGTTGGGTCCTCCCTCTTGTCTCTAGAATCCTTTTTGATCATGTGATGTCCTTGGTGTTGGGGAACGTTGCAGAAAACAAAAAAATTTCTACGATTTCACCAAGATCCATCTATGAGTTCATCTAGCAACGAGTGATTAGATTGCATCTACATAGCTTTGTAGATCACGCGCGGAAGCGTTCAAAGATCGGGGATGAGGAAGTCGTACACAACGTGATCCAAATCACCGGAGATCCTAGCGCCGAACGGATGGCACCTCCGCGTTCAACACACGTACGGTCAGCGTGACGTCTCCTCTTTCTTGATCCAGCAAGGGGGAAGGAGAGGTTGATGAAGATCCAGCAGCACGACGGCGTGGTGGTGGATGCAGGGCGTCACAGTAGTAGGGCTTCGCCGTATACTACGTGAGAGAGAGGTGCAGCAGGGGAGAGGGAGGCGCCAAAGGCTCAAGGGTGCGGCTGCCCCCTCCCTCCCCTTCATATATATAGGCTCCCCTAAGGGGGGTGCCGGCCCTAGGAGATGAGATCTCCTAGGGAGGGCGGCGGCCAGGGCTGGAGTGGCCCCCAAGGCAAGGTGGGGCGCCCCCCACCCCTAGGGTTTCAACCCTAGGCGCATGGGGTGGGCCTAGGGGGGCGCATCAGCCCACTATGGGCTGGTTCCCCTTCCCACTTTGGCCCATGGGGCCCTCCGGGATGGGTGGACCCCCGGACCCTTCCGGTGGTCCCGGTACAATACCGGTGACCCCGAAACTTGTCTCGATGGCCGAAACAGCACTTCCTATATATAATACTTTACCTCCGGACTATTCTGAAACTCCTCGTGACGTCCCGGATCTCATCCGGGACTTCCGAACAACATTCGGGTTACTGCATATACATATCTTCACAACCCTAGCATCACCGAACCTTAAGTGTGTAGACCCTACGGGTTCGGGAGACATGCAGACATGACCGAGACGACTCTTCGGTCAATAACCAACAGCGGGATCTGGATACCCATGTTGGCTCCCACATGCTCCACGATGATCTCATCGGATGAACCACGATGTCGAAGATTCAAGCAACCCCGTATTCAATTCCCTTTGCCAGTCAGTATGTTACTTGCCCGAGATTCGATCGTCGGTATCCCAATACCTCGTTCAATCTCGTTACCGGCAAGTCACTTTACTCGTATCGTAATGCATGATCCCGTGACCAGACACTTGGTCACTATGAGCTCATAATGATGATGCATTACCGAGTGGGCCCAGTGATACCTCTCCGTCATACAGAGTGACAAATCCCAGTCTTGATCCGTGTCAACCCAACAGACACTTTCGGAGATACCCGTAGTATACCTTTATAGTCAACCAGTTACGTTGTGACGTTTAATACACCCAAAGCACTCCTACGGCATCCGGGAGTTACACGATCTCATGGTCTAAGGAAAGGATACTTGACATTGGAAAAACTCTAGCAAACGAACTATACGATCTTGTGCTATGTTTAGGATTGGGTCTTGTCCATCACATCATTCTCCCAATGATGTGATCTCGTTATCAATGACATCCAATGTCCATAATCAGGAAACCATGACTATCTGTTGATCAACGGGCTAGTCAACTAGAGGCTTACTAGGGACATGTTGGTGTCTGTTATTCACACATGTATTACGATTTCCGGATAACACAATTATAGCATGAATAAAGACAATTATCATGAACAAGAAAATATAATAATAATAATGCTTTTATTATTGCCCTAGGGCATATTTCCAACAGTCTCCCACTTGCACTAGAGTCAATAATCTAGTTACATTGTGATGAATCGAACACCCATGAAATTCTGGTGTTGATCATGTTTTGCTCTAGGGAGAGGTTTAGTCAACGGATCCGCTACATTCATGTCCGTATGTATTTTACAAATCTCTATGTCTCCATCTTGAACATTTTCACGAATGGAGTTGAAGCGACGCTTGATGTGCCTTATCTTCTTGTGAAACCTAGGCTCCTTGGCAAGTGCAATAGCTCCAGTGTTGTCATAGAAGAGTTTGATCGGCCCCGACGCATTGGGTATGACTCCTAGGTCGGTGATGAACTCCTTCACCCAAATTGCTTCATGTGCTGCCTCCGAGGCTGCCATGTACTCCGCTTCACATGTAGATCCCGCCACGACGCTCTGCTTGCAACTGCACCAGCTTACTGCCCCACCATTCAAAATATACACGTATCCGGTTTGTGACTTAGAGTCATTCAGATCTGTGTCGAAGCTAGCGTCGACGTAACCCTTTATGACGAGCTCTTCGTCACCTCCATAAACGAAAAACATTTCCTTAGTCCTTTTCAGGTACTTCAGGATATTCTTGACCGCTGTCCAGTGTTACTTGCCGGGATTATTTTGGTACCTTCCTACCAAACTTACGGCAAGGTTTACATCAGGTCTGGTACACAGCATGACATACATAATAGAACCTATGGCTGAGGCATAGGGGATGACACTCATCTCTTCTATATCTTCTGCCGTGGTCGGACATTGAGCTGAGCTCAATTTCATACCTTGTAACACAGGTAAGAACCCCTTCTTAG